AGCCACATCACTACTTCTGGCTTTTTCTGTTTATGTGGTACTGAGGAATTGAACCCAGGGTTTTATGCATGCTAGGCAAGCACTCTACCACTAAGCCACATTCCTAGCCTGTTCAAAGAGGTTTTTGTTTTTTTTTTTTTTTGTAGTGGTGGTGGTGGGGTCAGTCATGGGGCTTGAACTCTGGGCCTGGGTGCTATCCCTCAGCTCTTCAGCTCAAGGATAGCACTCTACCACTTGAGCCACAGGCACCACTTCTGGTTTTCTGAGTGGTTTATTGGAGATGAGTCTTATAGCCTTTCCTGCCCAGGCTGGCTTTGAACCTCGATCCTCAGATCTCATCTTCCTAGTAGCTTGGATTACAGGTGTGAGCCACTGGTGCCCAGCTCTAAGTTATATAACTGATTTTAGGTTAATGAAAGACATTGCTAAAAACTGAAATCTATACTTGGGAGTTCTGCTTCCTACTCTTAAGACTTTACCACTTGAGCCCCAGTGCCACTTTTGGTTTTTTGAGAAATTTATTGGAAGTAAGAGTCTCACAGACTTTCCTGTCTAGGCTCGCTTCAAACTGTGATTCTCAGATCTCTGCCTCCTGAATAGCTAAAATTACAAAGGTATGAGCCACTGGTGCCTGGCCTCCCTGCCTCCTCTTTTTTTTTTCCCCCTGTGCTAGTACGGGGGCTTGAACTTAGTATCTGGGCAATGTCCCTTTGCTTTTTTTATTCAAGGCTAGTGTTCTATCACTTGAGCTACAGATCCTCTTCTGGCTTTTTGGTGGGTAACTGGAAATGAGTCTCACAGACTTTCCTGCCCAGGTTGGCTTCAAACTGTTATCTTTAGATCTCAGCCTCCCGAATAGTTCTAAATTTATATAAACATTATGAGCAGCACCATTACAATATGACAGGATTAGAGGTTATCCATATAGCAGTGGATATCCCTGAACCTCTGTGTTGCCAAATTCTCAGACTTCCAAACACTGGGTTACTGCCACCCACAAGTTACTGCTGTTCCCTGAGCCTTGTCTCTAGGCAGGCATCTGGACTACCTACTGGAACCTGGATTCTTTTTTCTATCTCAGCTTTCTCTATTCTAGTCTCTTGGCAGGTTTATTTTTCAGATTAATAAGCTGTATTAGTGAAGTCCTGGTCAAGAAACTATGGTTTAAGTTCTCATGTTTCCTTCTGTTAGTTAACTATTTAAAAGAGAACAGGTCAATTTTTCTGGGATTCTCATTTTCAACTGTTCGGAATGTGATTAGAAGATGCTTGAATTTCTGAAGATGAATTACAGGGAAGACACATAATTTTTCTCCAGTTTTAGGAAAAAGATTAAACTGGGAGAAAATAAGCTGACATTATGAAATTTATGAAGAAGGAAAGAAAGGAGAAAGGCAGGACTTAAAGAGACGTGGCTCAAGTAGGAGAGCACTTGGTAAATTCTATACCAGTACTGACCCCAACCCATTAAAAAAAAAAAAAAGGAAGAGGAAGGAGGGATCAAGCAAGCAAGCAGGGTATGGTGGCTCACACATGTAATCCTCGCCAATTCAGCAACTTGGTTCCATCTGGCCTAGACAAAAAGACCTGATTTGAAAAATAAACCATATTCAAACAAGTAACAAGAACATAAATGGCTGGAGTGGGCCTAAGTAGAAGAGTGCCTGCCTAGCAAGCCCAAAGTCCAGTATAAGAAAAAAAGGAATGAAGCAAAATATATGCATGTACAAAGTGCCAAAAGACATGCAAACCCCAGATCTCTCTACATCATTGCCAGTTGTCCCTCTGGAGACAGATTTTGGCCCCAATTTTATACATGATAGCTTTCTAAGAGAACTGATGTTTCAAATCATTCCTCTAAAGGGACTAGAGGATCTTAAATCATTGATGAAAATTTAACTATGTTCTCTATGCTCTAGGTCATAATGCAGGGAAATTGCCTTGATACACTTTAGGGAACTGAAGTGCTCTTGTAAGCCAGGTAATTCAATTAACTGGAACCAGCACAGCTGTAGAGCTTTTAGCACTACAGAAGTATTTTAGAGCTATTATTTACTGTAGGCACGCACACCAAGCACCATACTAAATGTTTTATAAGCATTTCCCATTTAATTCTAATAACAATTTCTACGAGGAAACTCAGGCTTAAGAGAAACTGGCAAGTGAGGAGCAGGAATGTGAAGTACTGAGAGCATGCTCTCAGTCACTGACAATCTAAAGGAACAATCTAGCAACAAATTACTTGACACCCCTGTCAAACACAAAGTTTTATTTTTTGTGTGTGTCAGTTGTGGGACTTGAACTTCTGGGCCTGGGTGCTATCCCTCAGCTCTTCAGCTCAAGGTGAGCGCTTTACCACTTGAGCCACAACACTACTTCTGGTTTTCTGGGGCTTAATTGGAGATAAGAGTCTCATAGACTTTCCTGCCTGGGTTGGCTTCGAACCCCAATCCTCAGATCTCAGCCTCCTGAGTAGCTAGGATTACAGGTGTGAGTTACCAGTGCCGGCTCCAACGTATTTTTTAAGTAACAAAACTGGAAATTAAAAAATATCAAGCTAGAAAAAGTGAGTATAACCTTTTTAGAGATTAAGAAAATCAAACAACAATTTAGTCAGTTATCTAATTTTAGAAAACAAAATACTTATGAAGACTTCTTAAGCAACTGTCCATTAATGTCATTCTTCATATAGATTTATTTCCTCCAGAAAGACTGACCTATGTTCTCCTAATTGGCAAGCTCCCTTACTTATTGATGTCTTTTGCAGGGCATACACTGTTACTCCTGCCTGGAAAAGTTTTCCCCAACTTGTCAAGTTGGCAAATGTACAATTCCTTCAGATGTATTCTCCTAGGCAGACTCAAATGTTCCTTTCTCTATATTGAACTAACTCCTTTTTGAGCCCACATTTGTACAGCAGCTGCTAAAGGACACTGCAATTACCTGTTTCTACATCCATTTTCTCCCAAGGACAGAAGCCACATATTTTCATATACATACTCCAGTCCCTACTGCAGAATCCAGCACAACAGTTGGGACACATTACTTTATCCTGTAATTCTAGTTTGCAGATAGGCAGGAATAGTAAATTTTTTTAAAATCCATTATGTAACCAAATAAACTCCAAGTAAAAACACTGTGATAAACAATGTGGCAAACACAAAAGTCAACAGACACATATATAATTGCTTCAATACACTGTTCAATAAGAACACTAATAGGAAACTATAAAGTGAAAGGGCTGATTATGATGACAAAGACTGGGAATGGCTAGATGTTTAAACTCCACCTTGATGAATGAGTAGAAAAATACATTTGAGGGGTAAGAGCATTGCTCAAGTAGTAGACTGCTTGCCTAGCAAGTGCAAGGCCCTGAGTTCAAACCCTAGTACTGCCAATGAGCAAACAAATGAATAAATAAATAGCTTGGGACATTTGCATCATACTGCTGAAATGCTCCCAAGTATAGCATTTAGTGAAATAAAGAAGAGTCATACCAGAGTGCAAGTAGCATGAGAACAAAAGGTCACAAATATAGGCTAATAAATGTATATTGCACATTTAAAATTTAGAAGTTTTACAGATGTAAGATGAGAGAAAACACCGTACAATTTGTTTCTTTTTTTTTAGGTCCGGTCATGGGGCCTGAACTCTGGGCCTGGGCGCTGTCCCTCAGCTCTTCAGCTCAAGCCTAGCACTCTACCACTTGAGCCACAGCGCCACTTCCAGCTTTTTTTTCTTTTTGCTTATGTGGTGCTGAGGAATGGAACCCAGGGCCTCATGCATGCAAGGCAAACGCTCTGCCACTGAGCCACGTTCCCAGCCCAACACTGTACAATTTTGATCCTAAGAACTATAGTAGCCAGGCGTCAGTGGCTTACACCTGTAATCCTAGCTACAAAGGAAACTGAGATTTGAGAATTGTGGTTCAGAACCAGTCCAGGCAGGAAAGTTTGTAAGACTTACCACCAACTAACTGGAAGTGGTGCTGTGGCTTAAAGTGGTACAGTGCTCGCCTTAAGCAAAAATTGCTCAGGGAGGAAGTGGCTCTGTGGCTCAAGTGGTAGAGTGCTTGCTTTGAGCTGAAGAGCTGAGGGACAGTGCCAAGGCCCAGAGTTCAAGCCCCACAACTGACCAAAAAAAAAAAAAAAATTGCTCGGGGACAGCGCCCAAGCCCCATATCAACAACAAAATCACCATCAAGGGAAGGACTGGGAAGGTAGCTCAGGGTAAAGTGCTCACTTAGCATGCATGAAGCCCTGGATTTGATTCCTCAGCACCACATAAACAGAAAAAGCCAGAGAAGCTGGGCTGGGAAGGTGGCTCAGTGTTAGAGTGCTTGCCTTGCATGCATGAGGCCCTGGGTTCGATTCCTCAGCACCACATAAGCAGAAAAAGGCCGGAAGTGGCCCTGTGGCTCAAGTGGTAGGGTGTTAGCCTTGAGCTAAAGAGCTGAGGGACAGTGCCCAGGCCCAGACTTCAAGCCCCACAACTGGCAAAAAACCTCCAAAAACAACAACAAAAAAAAAAACACCAGAAAAAGCCAGAAGTGGTGCTATGGCTCAAGTGCTAGCCTTGTGCAAAAGAAGCTCAGGGACAGTGCCAAGGCCCTGAGTTCAAGCCCCAGGACTGGCAACAAAATAAAACAAAATAATAACAAAATCACCATCAAGCTATATGTTCTGTTAAGTGTCAATTCCTGAATCTGTATTTTACTTGTAATAAAAAGAAAAATGACCTGTTAATTTCATGTTTTGAGTAGTTCATAATTAAGAGGTATTTACACCAGTATATTAAAAACATACCTTTTAAAATAAATAATTTAATACCAATAGATGAGGAATTCATATACAACCTTAAAATGAGAGTAAACTTCTTTACAACAATTACATTTAATATAAAGCAAACATATATAATATTTTTTAAAACAAAATTGTACTATTAAGAAAACATTATATACAGACATCACAAACAGCCTGAGAGTTGGGGGAAAGTACTAACCAGTTACTGCCAGCAGCTGTGAAACTCTCACCTCCATTTCCTCCCGGTGAGAACGGTCTCTATCTTCAAATTCACGTGTCCTTCTCCGAGCCTCTTCAAAGGCTTGTTGTGCTAATGCATCCTCCTGCTGTCAGAATATATAAAACATCTATTTTGATGTTCATTTATAATTTAAGAGGAAATGGACAGCAATGTACTTCTCTTTTTTTTCTTTCTTTCTTTGTTTTCTGTTGGCCATGGGATTTGAACTCTGGGCCTGGGCGCTATCCCTTAGCTCTTCAGCTCAAGACAAGCGCTCTACCACTTGAGCCATAGCACCACTTCAGCAGTGTATTCCTCAAGCTATCAACACCAAAAAAATCTACACAACTGCTAGTGTTGGGAGTATTTTTTTTTTTTTTTGGAGTCAGTCGTGGGGCTTGAACTCTGGGCCTGGGTGCTGTTCCTGAACTCTTCAGCTCAAGGTAAGCGGTCTACCACTTGAGCCACAGTGCCATTTCTGGTTTTCTGGTGGTTAACTGGAGATAAGAGTCTCATGGATTTTCCTGTCCGGGCTGGCTTTGAACTATGATCCTCAGATCTCAGCCTCCTGAGTAGCTAGGATTACAGGTGTGAGCCACCAGTGCCCCACTTGGGAGTACTTTTAATAAGAAAAGTTCAGTAGGGAATTTTCATGCTTTGTATTTCACCTTGGAAATAGTAGTCCCTACAAATTGTTATCTTCTTTCCTTACTTTATCCTACTTACCAAAATAAATTCCACCACCTCCTTTCTGTTCTAATGATGCACTTAAACTAGCTTTAAGAACCAGGGCAGGGCTGGGAAGGTGGCTCAGTGGTAGAGCACTTGCCTTGCATGCATGAGGCCCTGGGTTCCATTCCTCAGCACCACATAAGCAAAAAGCAAAAAGCCAGAAGTGGCGCTGTGGCTCAAGTGGTAGAGTGTTAGCCTTGAGCTGAAGAGCTGAGGGACAGTGCCCAGGCCTAGAGTTCAGGCCCCACAACCGGACCCCCCCCCCCCAAAAAAAAAAAAAAAGAACCAGGGCAAGGTATCTCATTTCCCTAAGCCTCAGGAAACTCATATGTAAAGTAGACATAGTAATACTTTACAATATATTGTAATACTTTACAATCTTGTTGTAAATTACATAAGACACAAAAAGTATTTAGGATATTACCCAGCAGCATTCAGTATGTGTTATTTTGCAAATATTTATGGATATACAAAAGCCCCTTATTTGACTTAGTATTCTGTATTTTTATAGTCTGTTCCACCAGCATTTATACTTGTATACCCACATATGAGCCAACAATTCCATCTTCATTGGCTTTTAAGTTCACTTCATTTTGTCCATCAAACATATATGTCAGAGGCACCTGCAAAAGAATGCTGTTCCAGTTCCCAAGAGGCTATTAGTTGGAAATCAACTAGGACATTTCTGCTGACGTACATGTGTTTATTCACTTTTTCATCTGTTTCCAACTATTTGTATGTGTAGGTGTCATAGATATAATGTGAGGGAATGAATGGTGCTTTGCCTCAAAGAACCTACAGTCCAATGGGGCAGGTAGAAATAAACATAATTAACAAAGACATAAAAAATTACCAACTATAGTTAAATGCAATAGAAGAAAATTTGAGGATAAAATGAGAATATAACATCAGTTGTGACCTAATTCCCTAAGAAGGTTATTAGCAACTGCTATGTATTGTAGCAATGGTCATGGTTTTTCTTCATTAAAATAATTAAAAAGTATAATTGTTTCAGTAAAATAGGCAGGAATAATTCTGGTTCCAACTTCTGTCTTTTTATAGTAAAAAAGGAGAAATGCAGTGAACAGAATTTGTACTCTAACAACTGGCAAAATTGGGAGAGACAATGAACAATTACCTGTATCATCGTGATCCTGTACTGTTATCTGTCCGCAATGTAACTTCTCCCTTTCAAGGACGTCATTTGCTAATAAAACTACATACTCACTCATGATGTAGACTAATGGCTATGGACAATGAACTCTACCCAGCCTCAGGGGATGGTAGGAGTGTTTCCAATATTCTAGTTCCTATGGCCACTTGACATACTACTCTGTTACTCCAAGGTGTATACAAAACCTTGGAAGCACAAAGTAGCCAGTTGGGAACAATATAAACCATAATGGAAGCTGGGAATGGTGAAAGAAAAACTAAATGAAGAAGGACTAGAGGCACAGCTCAAGTGGTAGAACACCTGCCTAGAAAACATGAAGTCCTGTGTTCAATCACCAGCAATTCCTGCCTGCCCCACGCTCTTGCCCAGGTATATCTGTCAATAAAAATTCAGAAAACAAAAACAATAAATGAGAAAGAAAAAAGAAAAATACCATTTTCAAGGCCATCCGGGGGAAATATTTGTGAGAACCCATTTCAACCATTCACACTGTGGTGAATATCTGTCATTTTAGCTAGGTCAGGAAGTATAAACAGGAAGATCATGGCCCAGGCAAAAAAAAAAAAAGAAAAAAAAGATAAGGGTTTAGAGATGTCTCAAGTGTTAAAAGCATCTACTTGGCAAGCTTAAGGCCCTGAGTTCAACATCCAGTACCACCAAAAAAGGGAAATAAATTCACTAAAGCAGCACTGGTATATATTTCAAAGGCAACATGTGCAACTGCAAACAGTACATTTAACCCACCTTTTTGCAGAATCTAAGTTCATTTCAACCAAATTATTTCCAAATTGCCTATTATATATTTATAACTATACAAAAAAAAGCAAAGTTGCTTATATGTTGGCTTCTGTAAGAGAAGAACCTTACAATCAACTAAAGGATACACCTGTTAAAGGATACCTGTTTTACATCAGTGTCATCAGGTACTTCAAACTGAAAATCCATTCATTCCAACAGTGGTTCTATTTCCTAACTCAATTACAGAATTAAAACATTTGAAAGGTCATTATAATGAAGATGAGACATTATGTGATGGACAAAATGAAATGAACTTAAAAGCCAATGAAGATGAAATTATTGGCTCTTATGTTGATATACAAATTGTGGTGGAGCAGACTGTATAAAAATTCATTGAATTAGACAAATAGCCTATACAAGTTTACTAAAACTAGTTCTAGTATACATATAAATTCATAACTGTACCCAAAAAATGAAACAATCTGCTAAGTCATTTAATTTATGTAACATAAATGTACTCATAAAGTACAGCCACAATTAAAAGTAACTCACTATAAAACTTTTGTGGCAGCCGGGCGCCGGTGGCTCACACCTGTAACCCCCTAGCTACTTAGGAGGCTGAGATCTGAGGATCGCAGTTCAAAGCCAGCCAAGGCAGGAAAGTCCGTAAGACTCTTATCTCCAATAAACCATTAGAAAACCAGAAGTGGTACTGTGGCTCAAGCAGTAGAGTGCTCGCCTTGAGCTGAAGAGCACAGGGACAGCACCCAGGCCCAGAGTTCAAGCCCCACGAGCAACCAAAAAAAACAAAACAAAACTTTTGTGGCAAAGCTGGTACAGAAAAAAAAAAAAAAGCATGATAGCACACATTCTCTTTGACTGCCCTTGAAAACTTGAGTTTTCGAAGAACTACACTGAAACCACCTTAGTTTCTATGATGGCATTGACTTTTCTTGGTAAATGAGTACTTATTAGTTACATTTTTGCTGAAATTAGATATAAATCTGATTATTCAATGGTGGTATGCCTAATATGCTCACTTTTTCTTTCAAAATCAAGCATATAAAGACTACAAACAAATGTACACTGCTGGCAGTAGTAGCCCATGCCTACAATCCTAGCTACTCAGGAAGCTGTGATGTGAGGATCACAGTTTGCAGCCAGCCAGGGCAGGAAAGTCCTTGATACTCTTATCTCTATTATCTTCCCAAAAAAGCCAGAAGTGGTACTCCAGTGTCAGAGCATTGGCCTTGTGCTAAAGAGCCCAGAGACAGCACCCAAGCCCTGAGTTCTAGCCCTAGGACTGACATACACACAACACAAAGAATTTATACCTATAAATTAAACAAAGTGACAAAATATATTCAGTTAAAAAAAAAACCTATTGGCATTTGAGGCTTTACAATTATAATCAAGTTATCTTCATTTGTGGAAAAGTTTCTGACCCAGTACCTAGTCAAAATATATAAACAATTACAATTCAGTAAAAATATATTTTCACAGAGTGAAAACATAAACCAATAAAAAAAACAGACGAGTTGTATTATAGCTGGCATTTTTTCAAAGAGATCTGAAGTAGTAGTAGCCAGAAACTGGACACTGTCCAAATGGCCATTAACCGTAGAATGGATAAAGTACTTGATCAACAAAGAAATACAATGAGAATGAAAAACTAAATGAACACACCAATATAGATAAATTTCACAAATGTATGAAGAGTACAAAACAGCTCATGCTGCATGAATCCATACATGTGTGTGTGTCTCTCTCTCTCTCTATACATATAGAGAGACACACACACACACACACACACACACACACACACATAGAAAAGTGAGCAAAAGTAATGAATGCTATTAGGAGTGAGTGAGGACTTCAGTGTACCATGCAGGGAGAGCAGATGCTAATTACCATAATGGACCAGAGGATTACATAATTTGTCTTTTTACTGCTAAAATACAGAAATATAGCTGATTGTGTAAGGACCTTGGTATTATATCCAAATACCTTATAGAATATATGTCAATTTTTCTAGTAACTTGCAAATCAATTTTGGATTTTTCTTCTGGAGAACTGAGGTTTTGAATTCAGAGCCTCATGCTTGCTAAGCAAGCATTTTACTACTTGAACTATACCTATAGCCCTTATTTGAATTTTTTTTCCTTGGTGCCAAAATTGGGACTTGAACTCAGGGCCTCCCACTCATTTGGGTTTTTTTGCTCAAGGCTGGTACTCTACCACGAGAGCCACAACTCCACTTCCAGGTTTTCTTGGTGGTTAAGTAGAGATGAGAGTTTCATGAAATTTCTGACCAGGCTTGCTTTGAACTGCAATCTTTAGATCTCAGTCTCCTCAATAGCTAAGATTACAGGATGAGCCACCAGTGTCTGGCTCCTTGTTTTACATTTTTTGCTTGTTGCAGGGCTTGAACCAGGGCCTGAGCGCTGTCCCTGAGCTTTTTTGCTTAAGCGTAACATTCTACCACTTTGAGCCACAGTGTCACTTCTGTTGTTTAGGATTTTGAAAGTAAATGAATTTTTAACAAATAAAGGTAGCTTCAGTATATATGGTGTGTGGTGGTTTGTGCTTGTAATCTCAGCTACTTGGGAGGCAGTGATTTAGGAGGATCATAGTTCAAAACTCAGCCTAGGCAAAAAGTGAGAACTCCATCTCAACCAAGAAGCTGGATGGGATGGCACAAGCCTGTGATACCAAATATTTGAGAAATAGGGGAAGGAGGATCTAAGACTAGCCTCATGCAAAAATGCGAGGCCCAAAATTTAAAAAGGGCTGGGGGCAAGGCTCAAGTGGTAAAGCACTTGACTAGCAAGGGTGAGGTCCTTGGTTCAAACCCTAGTTTAGAATTTTAAATTTTGAACCATATGTTGGTCATGGCACATCCATAATTCTACCTGAGAGGTGGGAACAAGATGACAGAGAGCTTGAGTCCAGTTTTGGCAAAGATAGTAGCAAGAGCCTCTCAAGAACAAAGTAAAATCAGAGTTGGGGAACAGCTCAAGTGTAGAGTATCTAACATGAAAAAGACCTAGGGTTCAATCTCCAGCACCATAAAAGAATTTGAACTTTGAATTTATTTTTATTATTAAAATGTGAGACAAGATCTTGCTATTATGTAACTTAGACTGGCCTAGGACTCACTTCTGCTTCCACCTCCCTTGAACCTTTATTATTTTTTGTGGTGGTGTTGGTATTGGAATTTCAACTTGGGTCCCTGCACTTGGTAGGCAAGCCTTCTACCACAATGACAAACTGCCAATGAAATGTCTATTGCTCTCAACATTCCTGTACATGATTTTTCAAGGTCTGCTAAAAAATCAGTTCTCTCTGGTAAGGAAGAAGCTCCCATAGCCCTTATGGCTTGCCCTGCCACCCAGAGGTAGAATCTGAGGGAACATAGACTGGAGAAGGGATGACAGACAGCAGTTGTTAACTGTTATTGACTAAAGTTCAGTAACTTTTAATAAATGCCTCTGAATTTCCAGAATCTTTAAATGAGGGCTTTGAGGTTGCTGTTGCTGCTTTTTTTTAATTCAATTTATCAAGGCCTTTTTGGAAAAGAATATACAAAAGCTCTTCACTCTTTTTTTTTTTGGTCAGTCATGGGGCTTGACCTCTGGGCTGTCCCTCAACTCTACAGTTCAAGGCCAGTGCTCTACCACTTGAGCTAAGCACCACTTCCGGCTTTTTCTGTTTATGTGGTGCTGAGGAATCGAACCCAGGGCCTCATGCATGCAAGGCAAGCACTCTACCACTGAGCCACCTTTTGAATCCCCCAAACTCCTCACTCTTACATTACAAAATTGCTACTCTTACATTTTGTTTTCAGTTGTTCTCCACCCTCTATAATGTTCCTAAAGACCAAGAACAAATGTTAGAAAAACCATTTACTGGACTTTTATGTTTCCAAAGGAGATTGGGGACTATGACTATTGGGCCCTGGTGATTATCAGAGCCCTATAGGTTATTACAGGGGGAGTGAGGGGAAGGGTAGGGTAACTGAGTGAACCACTTAACTATTGTAGATTAATTTAGAACCACTAGCAGAAAAACTTCCCCCAAATCAGGACTAGAAGGTAGTTCTTAACGTTTTCCTGATTCCTCAACACTACTTGAATAAAGTGCTTTCTATACTTATCTTTCCCCCCTTCCTTTTGTGTGTGTGTATATCTGTGAAGGGTACTGGGGCTTGAACTCAGGGCTTGGGTGCTGTCCCTTAGCCTTTGTGCTTAAGGCTAGCACTATACCACTTCAGTCACAGCTCCATTTGTGGCTTTTTCCTGCTTAATTGGAGATAAGAGTCTCATGGATTTTCCTTATCAGCTCAATCTCTACTTCCTAAGTAGTTAGGATAACAGGTTTGAAAAACTGATACGTATACTTATTATTAAAAATTAGGTAAAATAGACCCCCAGACTTAAGCAAGATTAGAGGCTAAATAAAGGGGCCACATTCAGTAAAGCCTGAAGTTACCATACCTGAGCTCGTTCCTCATCAAACTCCAGACAGCCCATACCATCAAGTCTCTGGAGATCAATCCAACCTTTCCAGATAACACAGACTCCATTCAGAATCATAGGAGCCTTCAAATACACCTAAGACACAAAAAAGGAGAAAACAACTGAAAAGTCATCAGGTATATTAAGCTTACTATGTCAACTATAGTTTTCTTAAAACAAGAATATAATTTACAAAACTAACAATTCCAGAAGGTGCTGGGCACCTATGGGCTCATGCCTATAAATTCTAGCTACTTTGGGGAAGAGAATGAGTAGATCATTAGACTTCATCTCAATGAAGAAGTTGGGCATGGTGCATTACAACAACTAAAGTTTGGAGCATAGCTCAGTGGCAGAAGGCCAACCTGGCAAAAGTGGTAGGCCTTATGTTCAAACCCTACTGCCCTAAAAGGGGAAAAGAATGTTAAGAAGGCTGGGAATAGAGCTCAACAGTATAATGCTTGTCAAGCATGTTTAAGGCATGGGTTCAATCCCCAATTTTAAAAAAATGTTTAAATGCAAGTAAAAAAAGAACTATACATTTATATTTTAACTACCATAATTATGGTTTATTAAGAAGAAAGCTGGAAGTGGCGCTGTGGCTCAAGTGGTAGAGCGCTAGCCTTGAGCTGAAGAGCTGAGGGACAGCACCCAGGCCCAGAGTTCAGGCTCCATGACCGGACCCAAAAAACAAAAACAAAAAAACGTAATTATAGTTTATATACATATAGAAACTATCCTTTAGTCATACTCAATATATTAGTGCCTTATAAGGATTGTCTCTCTGCAGCACTGGAGCCCAAAACCGAGGGCATTTGAGGAAGCTGAGGCAGGACTATCTGAGGCAGTATGAGCAAAGTTAACAAGACTATATCTAAAAAATAAAACACAAAAAAGGACACTGGGTGCCATGCCACGCCAGTGGCTACTACGAAGGAGGTTGAGATCCAAGAATTTACGTTCAAATCCTGGAACATGAAAGTCCATTAGATTTAGTTTTTTGTCGGTCATGGGGCTTGAACTTGGCCTGGGCGCTGTCCCTCAGCTCTTCAGCTCAAGGTGAGTCCTCTAGTTGAGCCACACTGCCACTTCCGGTTTTCTGGTGATTTATTCAAGATGAGAGTCTCGTGGGCTAGCTTTGAACTGCGATCCCCAGATCTCAGCCTTCTCAGTAGCTAGGATTACAGGCATGAGTCACCGGCGCTCAGCCATAGATTTTTATCTCCAATTGACCACCCAAAAGACTGGAAGTAAAGGTATGACTCAAGTGGTAGAGGGCTACCTTTGAGCAAAAAAGCTCAGGGAAAGTGTCCAGACCTTGAGTTCAAGCCCCGGAACCACCCGACCCCTACCCCAACCACACTCACGTGTGCACACGTGCACACACACGTATACACACACACACACTGAGAGGCTGAGGTCCTAAGTTCAAACCCTAGTGCTAGCACAAAAAGGAAAAATATTCAGTTAAAATAGCATTCAGGAGGCTAATGCAAGAGGATCAGTTGTTTGAGACCACATTGGCTACATAGTGACACCTTAATTTTTAGTTTAAGAAATAAAGAAAAATTAAAGAAAAACAAAATACAATCCCCCCTCATAACTCCAGATAACTAAATACATCCTTATATATGAAATTTTTAAAATTTACTTTCACCAAATATATTTCTTTGGATAATGCCAATGCTTTGAGAGCTAAAAACCGGCATTTTTATTACCTATATGATACAGAATTGGTAAGACAGTTTCTCATTTTCAGAAAAAAAGCTGGAGGCATCATTTTTCTTTACTCAATTCAAGTTTCCTAAACAGTCTTAGTTTTTCTTTTGAGAGAAGTTTAATAAGAACTGACTACCAATAATTACAAATATGCTAAAAAAATACCTGAGACACCTGAAAAATAAATTTATGTCTTCTTACTACATATTACATATTTATGTCATTCCTCTCCATGCTAAACACACATAAACCATCCTGAACCAAATTCTAGTCATACTAAGGAAGAATGTCCCAAAATATAGAGCTCCATTCTTCCTCCCATTTGGAACAAGGGAAGTAGTCTACAGTTATAGCAGAAACGGTTTAACCACACATTTCCTTCTGTTCTGATAAGTGCTTATTCCCTTCCATTTGGTGAATTTTTTAAAACTCCATCAATGATCATCTCGTCTAACAAGTGACTATGCCAATCTCAACTCCAACATGTCATAAAACTAAAACACAATAACCCTCTGTATTTCGTATCAACATAACTTTAATTACATCTTAATGAAGGCTTCTACCTACTCCTTTGAAAAGTACAGTGATCAATGTAACATGTCTGCTATCAAAGCCTCTTATTTTAAATTCATACATTAATCATAAATTCCTCTCATCAAATAGAGAAAGTTCAACTTCATATTCTTTTAAATCAGACTTTATATTCTTTACTGATGGTTTTATCTTTGAGAATTGGAGATTCTACAATGTTATATTAATGTCCAAAGTAAAAAAAAATTCCCTTACAAAATTGCTTAATTTCTTTAAGAGCCCACTTATTACTTTCTTATAAATCTTCTTTCATGACAAAGAAAGCTACTGATCCATTTTGGGAAATTCCTAAGCGACCTAGGAAAATGGTTATGTTCATAATGAAGACTAATGTCTAGAATCCTAATTAAAAATAACATTTAGATGATCCTGATGGTGATTTATTTAGATGATCATATTGAAATGAATGTAGTTTTATGCACAGATCTTCAAAGTAAATATTTGGGGCTTTCTTACATCCATGAATACCAAACCTCAAATTATGAAGAAAATATAATTCTGTCTCTTAACAGTTTGGCATTTTGTAATGTAATTAAGTAATGTAATTTAAACACAAAGACATTTTTCACTGAAAATAATGATGCCTACTTCAAACTTTGAAAAGAAAATTTGTTAAAATATGACTCAGGAATGAAACCCATTGTTCTAAAACAATAAAATATTTTACACAAAATGGATTCCATAAAGCCTTTAAAATGAGTAGATGCAGCTAATCACACAAAAGAAATAAAATTGCTTACTTAACATTTTCAATAGTTAAATATTACAGAATGTGGGGTTTGAACTCAGGGGCTGGGCACTGTCCCTGAGCTTTTGCTCAAGGCCACTTGGGCCAGAACGCTACTTCTGGGTTTTTCTGTTTATTTTGTATCGAGGAATCAAACCCAGGGCTTCACACATGCTAGGCAAGCACTCTACCACTAAGCTACATTCCCAGCTCTCACCATTTTTATTTTTTTAAGAAGGCAAAAATAACTGGGGGAAAGCAAAGAAATAGTGACATTGTCTAAAAAAAGTACTCATTACTTAACTTATGAAATGATAATCCCTCTATGCTTTGTTCAAAACCTTAAAAATAACAATAAAACTATGTTTTTAAAAAAGAAGGTAAGGCCGGTACCTGTGGCCTCCACCTATAATCCTAGCTACTGAGGAGGGTGAAATCTGAGGATCATGGTTCAAAGCCAGCCCGGGCAGGAAAGTCTGAGACTCTTATCTCCAATGAACCACCAGAAAACCAGAAGTGGTGCTGTGGCTCAAGAGGTAGAGCACCTTGAGCTCAAGCACTCAAGGACAGCATCCAGGCCCAGAGGTCAAGCCCCACGACTAACACTCCCCCCCACAAAAAAGGCAAAAGTTTGGGCTGGGAAGGTGGCTCAGTGGTAGAGCACTTGCCTTGCATACCTAAGTCCCTGGGTTCTATTCCTCAGCACCACATAAGCAAAAAGAAAAAAGCTGGAAGTGGCGCTGTGGCTCAAGTGGTAGAGTGCTAACCTTGAGCAGAAGAGCTGAGGAACAGTGCCCAGGCCCAGAGTTCAGGCCCCATGACCGGACCCCCCCCAAAAAAGGTAAAAGTTTGATTAATAAAACTTGGTTAATCAATTCAAGATCAACTATTTATGGCATTATATTCAAATTCATTTTTATTCATATTCTGCAGATTGTTATTCATATTCTTTATTGATGCAAATTCCATTGTCCTTAGTGTAAGATCAGCAAGGTCATGTCTGTTGTATCATCTTTAGTATTATTAATACATTTGACCATAAAAAAGAATGAAGAACTGATGTTATAACACAGATGAATCTTGAAAACAGTATGAAGTAAAAACTTCCAGGAAAAGGAAATGTCCAGAGTAGGCAAATCTAGAGAGACAGAAAGGAGGTTAGCAGTTGGAAGCTGAGAGAAGGAAGGAATGACTGCTAATCGGTATGGGATTTCTTTTGGGTCAATATGAAATTAGTGATAAGTGAACATCTCTTACATACTAAAAATTACTGAACTGTGTAATTTCACAGTGAATCTTACATGTGAATTTTATCTCAATAAAGCTGTCAAAATGTGTGCCAATTTTTTTTGATTGTTAGATTATCTCCAAATAGAGATTTTGAGTAGACAACTACATACGGGATTCCAGTATTCTGAGAAGAGATATGTGCTGATATTACGCATCTGGCAGATACCAATGACACTGGAGGAAAGAAAAAGGAACAGCAATTCCTCAAGAAGCAAAGGAAGGAGGGAAGACGAACCTAAAGGAAGTCCAACTTTTATTTTTATTATTTTATTTTATTTTATATTTATTTTTTGGGTCCGGTGGTGGGGCCTGAACTCTGGGCCTGGGCGCTATTCCTCAGCTCTTCAGCTCAAGGCTAGCGCTCTACCACTTGAGCCACAGTGCCACTTCTGGCTTTTTTCTTTTTGCTTATGTGGTGCTGAGGAATTGAACCCAGGGCCTCATGCATGCAAGGCAAACGCTCTACCACTGAGCCACCTTCCCAACCCCATGGAAGTTCAACTTTTAAATGTGAAGTAGAAGAACCCCACTACTGGATTATGAACAGCCAGTGAAGTAAAACATGAAAGGTGCTCAGTGGTGAAAGGTAAAAAATTTCCCTTTGTTGATGCATCATATATCTAAGCAGTCTACTGCATCTTAGGTCTTACTCAACTGTTAAACAGGACTTCTATTTCCAAAAGGAGCTGAGCTAAGAGAAACTAAAAGGTACAAAGATAAGCTGAAAGAGGACCCATGTTTGAGCTATTTGAAAGAAAATAATTTCAAG